CAGGAGATGATCATAATACTACCCATCACACAGGGCTGTTAGGATTAAATGTGTTATTATTTGAATAGAACTTAAAACAATACCTGGCACATAAGTAGCAACATGTAAATGTTTGTTTAGAACAATTTTAAGATCTGCTGCTGAATACTGTCTGATACAACACACCCTCCCGGACACACGTGGACTTCCATCTTGTAGGAACTTGACTCGGTATGATTTTTTATGTTTACCATATGACATCTTGGGTATTTAGATTGCATTTTCTCAAACTGACTGATGCATTTGATGCTCTGTGGATATTGTGAAAAGATTGTGCAAGTAACTTTTAATCCATGTTGTTATAAAGCATAGAGACACATAGAAACACTTTGTAGAATTCTGAGAATCCAAGACAGACGAGTGGCCAACAAGCACATGAAAAAGTGCTCATCAGAGAAATGCAAATCAAAACCACCTTGACCTTTCACCTATGAGAATGGCCCCTATCACAAAGTCCCAAAGCTACAGGTGCTGACATGGGTGCAGAGAGAAGGGGACACTTATACACTGTTGGTGGGATTGCAAACTAATACAGCCTCTTTCCATAGGAAAGAAGTATAGAGAATCTTCAAAGAGCTAAAATTTGATCCATTTGATCCCACAATCCCATCTCTAGGTATTTACTCAGAAGTAAAAAAAAAAAAAAAAAATCATTTTACATAAGAAAATTTGTACTAGAATGTTTATTGCAGCTCAAGTCACAATCACCAAAATGTGGAACCAATGCAGGTGCCCATCACCCCATGAATGGATTAATAAACTACAGTATATGTACACCATGGAATACTATTCAGCCATAAAAAGATGGAGACTTTACATCTTTTGTATTTACCTGGATGGAATTGAAAAACATTCCCCTTAGTAAAGTATCACAAGAATGGAAAACCAAGTATCCAATGAACTCAATACTAATGCAAGGATTTTGAGCAGGTGAGTTAAAGGTGCAGGAGTGATTGGGGGAAGGTTATTCTGCTGCTGGTGGGTTTGTTAGATGAGTGAGGAAGAGATGAGAGAAAAATAAATTCAACTCAAATGGGGGGAGGAAGGAGGAAAGTGGAGAGGGAGGAGGGCAGGGGGTTAGTAAGCTCTCACCTAACAGGCTCAGTGTAAGGATACATGGCACGCCTCCTGGGTGAAGGGCTCAACTACAATTTGGACTTTACGTAACGAATGCAAACAATGTAACCTAATTGTTTGTACCCTCATATTAATCTGAAATTTTAAAAAAGAAAAACTGTAGAATTCTGAGAATCTCAAAGCACCAATTTTTACCAGACTAGTTTACCAGACTGTTGAACTATTACACTTAACTGAGGGGTCTTAAATAATACCTTAAATTTGGGCAGTACTTTGCATTTTATATATTATCATCAAACACATTAGTTCATGTAATATGGAAGATAGTTAATAATATTTGTTGAATGATTGGCACCATGTATATTCTTATCTGAAAATAATTATTCTATGCTTGGTCCACTGAGATACCCAACAGTTGATCTTTAAATACTATTAATTCTGTAAATATGGCTTTTTGGAAATCATTACATAGCACCTCCAAGTAAACCACGTGACTGTACTGTCTCTGTATACATTGAGTCTGTCTCTGATTTCCTGTTTCAGTCAGTAGTGTTACTGTAACACCTGTCAACTAAATCAAAGCCATGTTCTTACTTTTGACTCAGTCCCATCTTTGTCCCCAGCATTCTGTCACTCTCATGACCCATGGGTCCTGATGGGTCCCACTGTATCAGCCCTCTTCGTTCCTATTGCCCTTATTAGTGTATCTTCAAAATCTAACAGGTCTCCCTCATCTAACCTCTTCCTCACTCAACAACAAACCTACCATCATCAGAATAACCTTCCCACAATCACTCCTGCACCTTGTAACTCACTTGCTCAAAATCCTACAATAAATCCTTCTTCTCTGCCCACAAGATGAATGCCAAAGTCCTGAGCCCAAGCTTCCACAAGCTTGACCGGCTTCTTTGTCCTGGTAAGTCTATCGAAGTTAATTTCCACTGATTGCTGGCTTTACCCTCTGGGTAAGCCAGGCCTGCCTTCTCACAGGCTTCTGAAATACCATTCCCACCTCCCAGTTGTGTTTTTGTTCATACTGTTTTACCCGTTTATGTCTCCCTATCGGCAGCTCCTTTACCCAGGCTTCGTTCATCTATTCATTCATTACTTAATTCAGCAAGCATTTGTTGAGATCTGCTATGTGGGAGGATATTTTATGGTAAGATTTTACCCCTGCCCTCAACAACTCATCCATTCAATTCTACTCATCCATCCATCCAACTCAATTCTACTATCTTAAGAAACCTATTTTCTCTTTAAACTTTCCAGGCTGGTCCAGCTTGCATCGATCTTCTGATACTTACTTTTCTATTGTCTTGTGAACTGTTTTGTCGGTTAGTTTTATTTCCCTAATAAGATTGTAACACCCTTGAGGGAGGAGCAGACCAGTGTCCTTACACCTTACCACACTTACTAAATACGAAACATACAGCAGGTACAGCACTTCAGGGAAATTGAACTGCTTTGGCCGTTTTGACAAAATTAATGTTGCCTAATAGAACCTAGGAGTTACTTCCTTTAAAGTTAAACTAATCCTCAGGATTAAGAGGATGAGGCTTTGAAAATCATAACACTTCCATCAAACTTAATCCCCAAGATAGTTTTAACAAAGGCCTAAGAGTTTTCTGATGGCAGCTCTGACTGTCACGTCATTCTTACTCTCACTCCCGTGTTCTCACCTGATGGTGGATCGGATAAAAATGGTCAAACCAGTTATGCTGCCTTGGTCTCTCCTAGTCAAGACTACTTGCTCTTTGATTCTGTCTCCAGCGTCAGTGACTTGGAACCCTTCAGGACTCAATCTGTGAACCAGTGTGGGGGGACAAGTGGTAACCACCATGAGAACAGTTTCAAGAGACTGACCATCAGGCTAGTGACCCTCACGGAGGACAAATGTACACATCAGCCTCAGCAGAGAGAATTGCTAAAGGAAATATGTTGGCATATTTCCATATTTTTTGTGTGACTTTATATTTGATTGAGGCTGCTAATTTATCTGTTAACTTCAACTGAAAAGCTCTTTAAAAGGGATTTTTTTTTTTTGAGACAGAGTCTCATTCTCTTGCCCAGGCTAGAGTGCTGTGCCATCAGCTTAGTTCACAACAACCTCAAACTCCTGGGTTCAAAGGATCCTCCTGCCTTAGCCTCTCTAGTAGCTGAGACCACAGGTGTCCTCCACAATACCCAGCTAGTTTTTCTATTTTTAGTAGAGATGGGGTCTTGCTCAGGCTGGTCTCTAACTCCTGAGCTCAAGTGATCCTCCCACTTCGGCCTCTCAGAGTGCTAAGATTATAGGCATGAGCCACTGCATCTGACCTAAAAGATAACATTTTTAAAAAAGAAATGTTTACTTTTTTATTTTTTGGAGACAGAGTCTTACCTTGATGCCCTGGGTGGAGTGCTATGGCACTGTAGCTCAAAGCAACCTCAAATTCTTGGGCTCAAACAATCCTCTTGCCTCAGCCTTCCTAGTAGCTGGGCCTACAGGCGTCCACCAAAACACCTGGCTAGTTTTTTCTTTTTAAAAATATTCCTTTAATTACTGTATAATATTTTATAGTATGTATATCTTTTATTTTATTTAACAATTCCCCTATTGGTGGACAATAGAATTATTTCCTTTTTTTTTTAATCACTACAAGTAATGTGAAAATAAGTATCTTTCAACATATATCCTTCCATCTTGGAAGTGGTATTGGGCATCTCCCTAAAGCCTTGCATTTTGGATATTGCCAAATTGGAATAAATGAGTCATAAAAGATAATCTAGGCAACTAACTAGCCAACTAACATAGTCTTATGTTTATTTTATATACAATGTCTGGAGTTTTTAGTTGAACTTTGCAGGAGGAATATGGGAAAGTATGTCTGCTCCATCCTCCCTTAAGTCCAAGTCCCCATCTTCAGTTTTTGATGCTGTTCTGTGGTTTAGGTCTTGCTAAGTATTATGACCAAGTAATTTTTCAACAAGACAGTGTCACTGTTAGCAGAACATCACGATTGTCCATTTGGCAAATCTTTTGTTTTCATTTTCTTTTGTTTCTTTTATTAATATGAGGGTATAAATGTTTAGGTTACATTGTTTTCATTTCTAAAGTTAAGTTCAAGTTGTAGTTTAGCCCTTCCTCCAGGAAGGCCATGCTGCACACCTCACATTGTGTACATCAGACAACCTCCCACCAGTTGCCCTCCATTCTCCATCCTCCCTTCTACCTCCTCTCCCCGCGCCCTTGCTAGACTGCTGCTCTCAGTAAGCCAGCCCTTGGAGACTCTGGCTGTACCCCTGAGAGGGAGCTTCCCAGGGCTGCAGGGGAAGGGCCATGAGCACAAGCTCCTGTTCCTAGGACCTCCAGATCCAGTCTCACCCCACCAGTTTTTTTAATTTTTAGTAGAGTTGGAGTCTCACTCTTGCTTAGGCTGGTCTCAAACTCCTGAGCTCCAGCAATCCACCTGCCTCGGCCTCCCAGAATGCTAGGATTCCAGGGTGAGCCACCTCGCCTGGCCAAAAAGAATTCTTATACAATTCCAATCTTCAATCTAGTAACAGGCATTAATTTGTAGTGATTGATAGTTCATGTTTTCCAGGTGGCATATCTTTTTTATTGTGGAGATACCCTGAATGGAATTACAATTTACAAAGTCATCGTTATACTTTACAAAACCCTATGAGGCAGCATTCTGTGTCCCGTTACCCTACCCTCTGTCTGCTTAACTTCTGCAAAACAGAAGCCATCTCCAAGCCAAAATAATAGGAAGAGTGTCATCCACCTGAGTGACCAAAAACAAAACAAACAAA